CTTCCAAGCCCACTGCCTGCTATCCTCTGATGGCTGTTTTTAGACATTAGCCTTGCATTTGCACCACTCTGTGTCACCAAGGGTATGCCAGGCTCTGGGCTGGGCCCTGGGAGACGCCAAGGTTAATTTCATGACTGCCTAGAAGGATGAGGAGGATTCTGGAGGGGGAGAGGATGCAGCTCCCCAGGCTCCGCCATCAGGCTGAGCAAGCCTAGAAACTACATCAAAACAGATGGTGAGCAGGTGCAGTGGCTCACACCTGCAGTCCCAGCACTTTGGGAGGCTGAGCTGGGAGGATCGCCTGTGCCTAGGAATTTGAGGCTGTAATGAGCTATGATGATACCACTGCAGAGCCTGGGTGACAGAGCAAGACCGTCTCAAAAAAATTTAGTCTGAGGAGCCCCCCCTAAAAAACCCCCAAACCAAGGAGTGCCCCAGATCTCCACACCAGGTATGAGCACTCCCGTGTGTGCCCTGATCCGAGCATCTCCTTGTCCAGTCTCACCCTGACCTGCTGTGTACTGAGTCTAGAGCCAGGCTGCATGGGTTCATATCCCAGGGTAGCACCTGCCAGCTGTGTGGTCTTGGGCAACTTTCTTAACCTTTCTGTGCCTCCATTTTCCCCTATGTAAAATGGGGAGAGCAGAGAATGCCCAACTGATAGGACTACTGTGGGGATTTCATTTGTACTTGCATTTCAGTGCTGATATTAGAATTGGGTATCCATTCCCCCAGCAAATGAGCACCTGCCCTCTATCTGCACCACCTCCTGTGACAGGGACCTCATCTCACCTCCTGGGAGCAAATTCTTTCTCACCTGAGACAAAACTTACCTTTTCCCCATGATCTTCCTTCCCGTGGGTCCCCATCCAGCCTGTCCCCCTCCCAACCACAGCTCCACCCCAAGTCCTAAGGGCCTGGGGTACAGTGACACCTCCCTGAGGTTGCCCCACTCCAGGCTGAGCCACCTGAGCTCCTCCCAGGCCAGTGTGCCCTGCCGCTGCCTCTGCGCCTGCCCCAAGATGCCCGTGTTGGATCTGGGCCAGAATGGGTGGGGTCTTAGCAGCCCAGAGCAAAGTGGGGTTCTAGAGGCCAGGCCCCACAGACCTGGGGCCACGGACATCTCCCGTCTCCATGGGAAGGGATGCCCTGCCCTGCCCCTGCTCCCATCCCGAGGTCTCTCTTATGTTGTCCCCTCCCTTCATGGGCACGGTCCACCGCCATCACCACAGCATCACTGAAAGGACCTGGCTGAGCCCTGCCCTTGTTGTGTCATCGAAGAAAACTGGAAAAACCTCAGGCCCCATGGGCGTCCTCCACCCTAGCCTGGCCTGGTCCCCCTCTGACCTGTCTTCAGTAGCTTCTGCTCCTCCCTCTGGGCCCACAGACCCAGGCCTGGTCATCCCACTGGGCTTCCCCCAGCCCCACCATGGACCTCCTGGCCCCCATCTCAGTCCCCCATCCAGCCCAGCTCCCCGGGCCTCAGCAGCCACAGGCAGCAGGAAGGAGGTCTGAGCGGGGAGCCAGGCCTAGGTGCAAATCCCGCTTATCCACTCTCTTGGCACGAGTGGCCTTGGTAAGGCCACTCTGAGTCTAGGTCTCAGTCTCCCATGGATGAATTGGGCCAAGGGAGGGAGGGCCTCCAGCTCTGCCACAGTTCTGTGGCTCTTCTTGGCACGCCCAGAGGCTGCTCTGCTCTCCAGGGCAGGGGAGGCTGGGGACAGTTGCCAGATTCAACACATAAATAGGTCAAAAAATGAACCTTGACTTAAGCTTGGGCCTTATACAAATGTCAATTTAAAAGGGATCGCAGAACCCTGCAGAGCTGGTGCTACTGAAATATCCAGACACAAAAGGACAGATACTGGGTGATTCCCCTCATATGGGGACCAAGTAGTTACATTCACAGAGACAGAGAGTAGCATGGTGGGTGCCAGGGATGTGGAAGACCTTTCTGAGACCCAAAAGGAAGAAACCCACCCCTCTGTCCCCCACCATGGAAGAAATCAGGCTCTGAAGGGATCTTGACCAGGTCCAGCCACCAGGTCAAAGTCCCCCAAGTGCTGGCTGCAGGCCTTTCCATTTGCAAAGGCCAGAACCCAGACCTGTCCCTGGATGTGGGGTAGAAGCAGAGAGGGCACAGCAGCCTGAGGATGTCCCTCCCCCGACCAGGGCGGATCCTGGTTCCTCGGGCCCTTGACATGCCACCAATGACCACTCTATCTGGTCAAATATGCAAGTGGTCCTTGGAACAGCAGGGAGGAGCATAGCCGAGCAAGCCTTATCTGGGTCCCACACCAGCTGCCAGGGGCTGGTCCCTGCTGTCCCCTGACTCACAGGCCTGCCGGCGGCCAGGGCAAGGGTGGGAATCCAGATCCCAGGAGCACCCGGACCAGACAGGGCAGGGCAGGAAGGGACAAGACTGATACTCATCCATGTGCAAGAGGCTGGGCAGGGTCCAGGAGGTGACTTTTCACTCTTGTGGAATTCCATCCTCCTGAGCTCATCTCCCTCGGAGCAAGTGGCACATTCCAGCAGGGGCCAGCCCCAGTCCCAGCTGGGCCCCCATCCCCAGTGCTGGCTCTCCCGGGCTCAGTTACCACACTCTTGGGAAGGGCTAGCCGAGCGCTCGTGCCTCCTCCAAGGCCCTGAGTCACTGGTGTATGTCACTCTCAGTGTACAGCGAGGCTTCAATGGCCTGTGCATGGCCAGGTCCAATGTCGTCATGGAGGCTTGGAGACGCCTGTCCCTTGCCCAGGGTTCCAGAGCTAGGAAATGGCATAGGCTTCTCTGCACCCTCCCAGTGGACATTTTACAATGCTCACAAATGCACCCAGCAAGCAGGGTGCTCCTGCTTCTCCTCCTGCCTCCTGACTGCTCTTCCCTTCCCACTGCCCTCCAGTCCCAGCTGTTTCTCAGGCTGCTTTCCCACATTAATCCTGCCACCGGGCCATCCCACAAACACCAGGGCTTCTGTTACCACCTGCCCCAGGTGGCAGCTAGGAAGATCCAGGTACCAGCGACTCGGACATCCCCGCCTGTGGCATGCAGGATCTCCCACTCCCATGCCCCAAAGTACCCTAATCATCTCCCCTAAAACTGAGCTCCTCTGCCCCAGGTCCCCATCCCAGTGAGGGCCACCCATATGCCTCAAACACAGCCCACAGCGGGTCCTGCCTGTTCTGCTTCCTAAACTGCCTTGCCCACACATCCAACCCCAGTCCCCTGTGGGGTTTAGGGACCAATTGTGGCCATGGCTCTTTCATTCTGGTGCTCCACTCTGTCCCAGAGAGGCCTAAAACCTGCCTGCACATTCCTCACCAAAGCTGGAGGAAGTTTTTCTCGCTGGCCTGGCACTCAAGGCCTTGCCCTCTGCAGCCTCATAGCCCACAGCCCCCACCCTCGGCCACATGGGCCCCCACACCGTGCTGAGTTAGCACTGTGTGTTTTTGTACACACCTGCTTCTGCCTGGCTGCCCTCTTCCTTCTCGTTGCCTTGGCCATCTGGAGGACTCCTGCTCATCCTTCAAAGCCCTGCTAAGAGGTCTCTTCTTCCCCTTAGTAGTCTTCGGACTTCTCCGGGAAGAAACCACTCCTCCTCTGACCTCTTCTCTGCACCTTCTGGGTCACTTTTCTCCTGCACTGTGTCGCCCTGAATCACAACTTTTGCTGCTCCAGCCTGACTCTCTCACTAGACTGAGAGTCTAGTCTTGACAGCAAGGGCTGAGTGTCGTTCATCTCCCCGCTGCACAAAAGGCTGGGAAGAAATGATTCAACGCCACAAAGATTCTGCCATCCAAAGATTTCAACTCAACTCTCCCTCCTAACCAAAGATCCTACGATTCCCAACCCCACACGCTGGATGTGAAACTAATATTCTACGATCTCAACCTGAACAGTCTGTGATTTCAACCCAGAAGTATTATGGCCTTAAAATGCCAGCTGGGGAAACCATAATTCTAAAATTACCTCTCCAGAGGATGTTTGCACCCTCCACTGTTCTGTTCTAACCTGACCATTTCGTGATTGGCCCTTGCATGGGGCAAGGAGGGATGGGGAAAGCCCAGCCGGCAACACTGATGCCCCTGCCTCCCTAACTCCAGGGCCCACACCTGCCGGCCAGGGCCTGGCTCTGCCTGGGCTGGGGCCTGAGCTGGAGACCTGTGAAGCCAAGACACCCCGGAGGCATTTGTTCTCCCTCATCTGCCAGTGAGGCGGTGGGCTCCCCTGCGGCTTTGGGGACAGTCCCTTATCAGGCCTGCAGGATGCATGTGGTGCACCACTCCCTGGCTTCCCCTGCCTCCTTTTCTCTCCCACCAGCTGCCAACAAGCCCCAGGGCCTGTAGTCAGGTCGAGTCTTGTCTCCCTGCAGCAGGAGTGAGGAGCAGGTGGTAAACACATCTGCGAGCCTTTCCAAGACACTCAGCAGGAGCAGCGCCAGGCTGGCCCTTTCTCCTGTCACTTCCCACCTCCGCGGTTGGGGAGGCCCATGGCAGCTTGTTTTGGGGGGTGGTTCTGGGACCAGGCCCCATGCTTCAACTAAACGTCACAGTGCAGGAGCTGACTGGTACCTGACGATCCAGAAGAAAGCCAGGGTCATAGTCCCAATTGACAGATGTAGAAACTGAGGTCCATCCAAAATGGGAATGAACCCCCCAGAGGCTGGTGGCTGTCTTTGCTCCTGCCCAGATGGATCCATGTCTGGGCCCTCGGGGTGCCCTGTGGCAAGGAGGGAGAGCCTGGCCACCTGGGGATAGGGTGGCTGGGCTGTGCGGCCACTGACCTGAGACCCTGAGTGCCAGCTGGTCCCCTCTCTGGGCCATTTCCACCCCGGTCGCACAAAGTTGCTCAGCCTTCCCTGTGTACACTGAGGAGTCCCCAGCCCCACCCCTTGGCTCAGGAATACACAGAGTGAACTACTTTTCCAGGAAGCCACCCACACGCATCCTCCCTAACCGAGTGCAGCTGGGCAAGCGGGGAAAGGTGTGTCCTTCCGCTGGGTCTCCCTGAGCTGGAGAAATTTCTGCTCAGAAACACCAGCTCAGGCCAGCCTGCTCTCCACCCAGACCCCTCTGCTCACCCTGCTCAGGGCCTCCCTCTGCCTCCAAAGGGTCTGTCTGTATGACCTCTGGCCCTCTCCCGCTCCAGAACCACCAGTGGCTCCCCAGTGGCCACAGGCATTTGTCTGTTCATCCTGTCCATGTGTATAGAGTGGCTAACGCGGGCCAAGCTCTGGAACACAGCTGGGACCGAGACACAGGGGTCCCTGTCCTCAGCAAGCTTTTAGTTGAGGGGGAGGAGAAGGCCATGGAACAAGGCGCCCTCCTAGCAAGGTCTAGGAAGGACGTGAAAGGAAAGCTTCTCTAAGTAGGGGACATCATGGCTGAAACTTGGATGGCAAGGAGAAGGCACACGACAATCTAGGGACAGAACACAAGGCTCTCACTCCTTGTGTCAGCTGCCAGGCCACCCCAGCTGTGGTTACCCTTCCAGGGACCCTGAGACCAGCTAGTATGGGCCCCTGACCTGGTCCCGTGCCCCACCTCTGGGCCTTTGTCCACTCCCAGCCACCAGACATGGCTTCCCTTCACCTCTTCTCTGCCTTGCCAAACCTCACTCATCTTTTGGGGTTCACCTCCTCCAGGAAGCCCACTGAGGTTGGTCCAATGATGTCTGACAGCTCCCAGTGTCTACATCACCCACAGGCTCCTGGGAACATGACTGAGCAGCAACCACGAGCCTCTTACTGTGTGTAGCCGGGTGGCTCACAGAACACTGTCCCACCTCATCCACCTGGAAACTGACTTATCACAAGCCACCTGTTACTCTCTCCTTTCGTTCTCACCCTGGCCCAATCAGGTAGCTACAGATGAGGAAACCCAGGCTGAGAGAGGAAAGCTACTTGTTTTCCTCCTATCTGCCTCCAAGGACTGAGAGCTTTGAGGGCAGGAGGAAGTCTGTGACCTGTGACCTGCAGGGTGATCTCAGCACAGAAACAGGGAGAAGGAGCTGCTGAGAACCTGCAGGGAGGTGACACTCTGGGCAGGAATTCGCAGCCCTGGGACTGGACAGGAGGCACCGTAATCTACTCCTGGACCTTACCCCAGGGCAGGCCAGGTGAGCGACTCTCCTATGTGACTCACCGTGGCCACCTGGGAGGTTCTGACACACAGGATGTGGCCAGAAGCCTGAGAAGAGGGTGGAGAGAGGCGTAGCTGGAAGACGACCTGCTTGGCCCCTCCCAAGGATACGAGTTCACATCTGTCCCTCTTTCTGTCTTGCTGAGCAACATCCAATTTGTCTTAGTGGAGACTCAGCTCTGCAACCTCTCCAGTAACTGACAAGCAGACACAGCCCTGACCTGTAGCGGATGGACGCCAGAGCCAAGCAGAACGAGGCTGAGGGCAGAGCCCTGTGGCTCATCACCAGACAGCCAGAGCCAGAGGTTACAAGCAAGCTGTTCCGCACCATCTCTGCAAGAGCCGCCCAGCTGCCCTCCCTGGCTGCCTCCCTTTCAGCCCATCTCGTGGTTGTGTAAGTTCATGCGAGTCCGGGCATTCTGCTTGATCTCCTGAGTATCCACAAAGCCCTTGGAGAAATCGATGCTGTAGCTGATGTCAGAAGAGAAGCCACCCCACTTCCAGCCCTCATCCCAGTGGTACTGGCCTTGCTTCTCCTTGTCGCTGCCGCAGTCACTGAGGTTACCCTGGGTACAGGCAGCTGGGATGGCGTGGGCCATGCTGGTGGCAATGATGGCATAGGCGAAGGCAGCCTCCCAGCTTCCTGCGAGGAGGAAAGAAGAGAGGAAAGGCTGAGTCAGGCCCTGGGCATCTGCGAGGAGGCTGGGCCTGTCTGCCAAGGGCAGCTGAGCTCAATGCAATGGCCCATCAGGGGCTTGACTGAGCCCCCATTCCTAACTTCCATCAAAGCTCCCTCCTGAGTGTCCCCCATGAGGCACACACTATTCAATCCCCAATCCCTTGAGGAGTCAGCTGGGCACTAGAGGAGGAAGGCACGTGGGCTGGTTGCCCAGGCTCCAGAAGGCCTGATGGAGGAACCCCCCCAGCTTGTGACCACCCACCCCCAACTCTGGAGCGCACTCAACAGGACCATGTGACTTGTACACGGGCACAAAGCTCACAGCATCGTAAAGTGGCATCACTAGGACACCTACAGAGCGCACTTGTTCTGGACTCAGAAGGCCTGAGTTTAAATCCCGGGAACATCAATCCTGGGCTCTGTGACTTTTGGCCAAGGACTACCCCTCCCTGAGCCTCAGTCTCCTCGGCTGTAAAATGGGAACATACCAGTAGTACCTTCCTCATGGCTATGATGGAGAACGAGAAGAGTCTGTGCAAAGTGTTCAGCCCTGTGCTTAGCTCATGGCACTGGCTGAGACTGTAGCTCTTGTTCTCATGGCCAGTATTATTGCTGCTATGTGTCACCTGCTACTTTAGATGTCCATCCTCTCCCTTCTTCTGTGGCTCCCTCACTAGACTGTAAGCAACCCCAGGGGAGACGAGGGGTCCTAAGCAGCTGGGGTGCAGGAGGCAGTAATCCTGAGCGGGAGTCACTCATGCAAAGATGGTGCTGCCACCTAGCCTCTTAGTCTCTCTGGGCCTCAGTCTCCCCCTCTGCAAAATGGGTTCAAGAGCAGTGTCCACTTTCCAGCATGAAGACTGGCCAAGGCAATCTATAGGAAGCCCTGCGCATGGTAGGAGCCCTGAGTGAGCACTCAGCAGGTAGCTCCCACAGCCAGGGCGGGTTTCAGGGAAGGCACCTGGGGGAAGAGGCCCCCGAGCCCGCAGGCACAATGGGGCGAGGAGAATGTGTTTCAGGGTGCTGGGATGGAGAAGGCGGAAGCAGTAGGTTAGGTGGATGAGGCAACCTCCAAGCAGCTCGAGCCCCAGGTCACTCTGAGCCACACTCAGGCAGATCCTTTCCCCTCCCACCTCCTCATCTGCTCCTGGCCTCCCTCCCGGCTGCTAAGACACAAACAACCTGCGCCCCTGCCCCATCGCTGCCCTCCAACCTTGCGGGACGTAGGCCTGTCCACCTGCTGGACTGGTCGTCTTCCCCGTGCCAGGGCCGGCTTTGCTCTGGCCTTCCCTGCCAGCCCACCCATGGTGGCCCTGCTCACATGGACACCGGGGCCGACGCCTGGGCTCAAATCCCAGCTCCACCACTTGCTGACTCTGACTTGAGTGAGGTCCTTCCCCACTTGGAGTCTCAGTCCTTGTTTATGAAACGTGGAAAATGCCATTGCCTGCCTGTGGGAGCTGCTGAGAAGGCGCAGGAGAGGGGACAGAAATGTGTAGCCGGGAGCTGGCCTAGCAAACATGGAGCTGGCCTAGCAAACATGGGAGTGGGCACCGAGGGGAATGCCACCTCCGCCTTCTCACCTCAACTTGGGAGAGCCCAGCCAATCCGTTGTGCTGCTGGGCTCTGCTGCAAAGGACAGAGCTTTCAAATTAAGGCCATGAAAGGACAGGACACCAGGCCTTGAGCCCCACTGAGGCAAGACATTGGAAAAGAGATAGAACTTGATGGATAGACCCCAAGGACAGGGCAGATGAGAAGAATCTGCACTCTCCACCCTCCCAGCAAAGCTAGACAACAAGCAAGCAGGTCTGTCTCAGCTAGAGCAGGAGCTGGGGGCTGCCAGGGGTCGGGGGGATCCGGGATCTCCTGGAAATAGGTAGCCACATTCCTGCCTTTGCACAGATCGGAGGCTCAAGTTTACCCCCTTGCATGCTCCAAGGGCTCCAGGCAAGCTGGAAGACTCACCCTAGTCTAGTGAGTCCCGAGGAACAAAGACCCCAGAGGAACAAAGAGAAAGCCTCCCCCACACTGGGTACCAGCTCACATGCCAAGGTATCCAACACAAGAAAATGAAACACCAGGGGAGATAGCCAATGTCAAGATTAGATACTCAAGGACGTCGGCAAAAAGAACAATCAGCTGGAGAGCAGAGAGAAGTCTCTGTCCCACTGCTTTCTAGCTGGGTGACCTTGGGTGAGTCGCCTAACCTCTCTGTGCTTCAGTTCCTCCACTGTAAAATGAGGTGACAACAGTACCCACTTTATTAGGGTGGTTGAGAGGACTAGAAAAAATCAACAATGGTAAACCACTTAGCTGAGAGCTTAGCATGAAAAAGTTGCCCCAAATACTAGAGTTTTTATAATTTTGTATTAATAATTGATGACAGTAATGACAGTTTCTTACAAGAGGGCTCAGAGGTAAGGAGCAGAGGTCTTCATTTATCTTCATTGACAGTTGAAGAAACTGAAGGCAAGAAAAAGGTCTGACTTGTGCAGGACACAGAGCTGAGGTGCAGATGTGGCCTCTGGACAGCCCATATGGACCCAGGGATCGAATGACTCCAAGGTGCTGCAGGCAGTGACCGCTGGCAGGCTGCGGCAGCTGAAAGGCGACTGTGTCCACTGTATCAGACCGCGAACGGGTGTGCAAGGGACGCAGGAGCAGGAGCCTGGCCTGTGCTTCCTGTGTAGCAGGGCCAAGGCCAGGGTTGGGGGCTGTCAGCCCAACTCTCCTTGTAATGATTTTCTGTGACCCTGCTCTACCTCCAAGCAGGTGTCCGTCCTTAGTTCTCTCTGAGTCCCCTGTGCAGCCCGTGGCAATGCAAATGGTGAGGACCAGACAACCAGCTGCAGACTTGTTCCCACCCTACCCACCGATCCCATCTCTTCCCCACGGTGGGGAAAGGGCAGCTGCACCCTGGGTTGCATTTAACCTCCCCAAGTTCCAGGTGGACCCCCAGGCCACATGAAGTCTCCAGTGCCATGGCCTTTCCCTACCTGCCACGCTGGCCCTCCCCTCAGCACCCGCTGCCCCCGAGAAGTGGAGGCTGCAGCCAAGGGGCCAAGAAACAATGAGGGGCAGCCATTCTTGGCTTCAGAGTTCTCAGAGACCCAGGTACGACAGGTAAAGTCCAGCCCTTTGGAACTCTGAAGAGTTTCTGTTGACCGTGCCATTAATTCGGACACTGGCCCTGCCCAGCAACAGTAGAGTGGGACTGTCCAATCCCCACCGCTCGCTGACCACTGAGGAACTGGGCACCTGCTGGCGTGTAACTGATATCAGGCCTGTTAACCTCTTTGAGCCTGTGTTGCTGCTTCTGTGAAATGGGCACAAGGCAGCACGTGTGCATCCGAGTGAGCAGAGTCAGAATGAGGGGCCGGTGCTGAGCACAGTGCCAGGATGTAGTAAGTGCTCAGTGAACACCAGCCCTGCTGCCGCTGTTACTACTGTAACTGTCACCGAGTCCCATTCCCGCCTCATCTATGACATTCCATATATTCTACGATGTCCCAAAGGACAAGGCAGCCTCAATTTGAAGTAATTAAGCATCCTCCTAACAAGCTTGAATGCAGCTCATCACCGAGGGATGGCTCTCTTCCCGGACAGTCCTCTCCATGTCCCAGATCTCAGTCAGCAACCCTTCCTTCTGCCCTCCCGTGCCTTCAATTCAGTCATCCTAACTCCACTACTTAAATTCTTCTACTTAAAATCCTACAAAAGAGAACTCAATGCAGCTCCACCCTTCAGCCACACCCTCTTTCATCTGTTTTAATCCACTGGTCTTCAGCTGTACTTCATGATCCTACTTAGTCATGAATCAGTTTTGCCAGATCCCTCTGAACAGACCTACCCACCATTAATTTCCCTTAAGTGTGGCTCCAAGTATGGAGTGGAAAGTGCCAAGGATGACGTTGGGGTTCCAGCTTGTGGTGGATGGTGGGAACCGGTCACAGGAAGAGAGACACTGAAGGAGGACCAAGTTCAGGTATGACATTGACAAGTTTGGCTTTAGATGTGTTGAGTTTGAGATATATCTTTGAGAGATCCAAGAAAAAATATGACATGTATTTGGATATTTTAGTTCTAAAGTTCAGAGAAGTCTCAACTGGAGAGAGAGAATTTTGTAAATCATCTGCAAATAGGTGATAAGGGATGTGATAATTAAGAAATATAGTATGGGCCGGGCACAGTGGCTCATGCCTGTAATCCCAGCACTCTGGGAGGCCGACACGGGAAAATCACTCAGGGTCAGGAGTTTGAAACCAGCCTGAGCACGAGCGAGACCCTGTCTCTACTAAAAATAGAAGGAAATTAATTGGCCAACTAAAAATATATAGAAAAAATTAGCTGGATATGGTGGCATATGCCTGTAGTCCCAGCTACTCGGGAAGCTGAGGCAGAAGGATTGCTTGAGCCCAGGAGTTTGAGGTTGCTGTGAGCTAGGCTGACACCACAGCACTCTAGCCCAGGCAACAGAGTGAGACTCTGTCTCAAACAAAGAAAAAAAAAAGAAATATAGTATATAAGACTGAGGAGAGCAGAGACCCTTAGACAAGGTCTTGAAATCTCATATTGAATGAGTGGAGGAAAATGAATTTACAAAAAAATTAGAGAAGGGTCAAGCAAACGGGTAGGAAGAACTCCAGGAGATTACTGAATCACAGAAACTAAAAGAAAAGAACATCACCAAGAAGCCCAGTTGAGCCTTAGAGAATACCCAAGTGGTACAGAGGTCTTCAGCCAGCTGCACAAGGTCATCTTAGGAGGCGAATGGAAAATCCCAAGCTTTGGTGTTTGTGTGTGTAAACTACTGAAATTTCTAAAACTGGCTCTAAAATCAGATCTCATGGGGAAATTTCCTGGATGTTTACATCCTGACAACACCATTTGAATGAAAATGTGTACTATGATTGTTTTGGAGGCAGGAAGTCTTTTGTTGTTTATGCATTCTGGTGCACCTAGGCATATGTTAATGGTTTAGCCAACTTTCCCAAATCACGCTTGTCATTCTCCTGCACTGCCAGCTGCCCTCGGCTCACAGCATGATACATCGTAGACGGCTTCTGCAGACTGCTGTCCCCTTTCCTGCCTTATCCAGGGTAGCTGCCTGTGTACCCACTGAGCACAGAGCCACACCTCACTCTCTCACGACTCCCTGCACTTGCTCTTCTTTTCCTTCTGTGAGGCATGTGTGTTAGCTTCCACATTGCTGCTGTAACAGATTGCCATAGGTTTAGTACTTAAGATGACACACATTTGTGATGTCACAGTTCTGTAGCTCAGAAGCCCAGATATAGTATGCACAACAAGGTCCTCAGGTTAGACTCTCACAAGCTGAAATCAAGGTGTTGGGAAGGATCCATGCCTTTCATAAGGCTCTGGGAGTGAATCACTTCCACGCTTATTCAGGTCACTGGCCCAATTCCAGTCGCTTGCAGTTGTAGGCCTGAGGTCTTCCATCCCTTGCTGCCTTTCAGCTGGGAACCAGTCTTTGCTCCTAGAGGCTGTCCACGTTCCTTCTCGTGCTTCCCATGTGCCCCACCCCATCAGAAGTAGCAGCTGGAATCCCTCCCAAGCTTCAGATCTGCCCCCACTTCCTCTCCCCCCCCCCCCGCATCTCTTAACGTCCAGCTAGAGAAAAGTTCTCTGCTTTTAAGGGCTCTTGTGATTAAATTGGGTCAACTCAGATAATCTAAAATAATCTGTCTGAAGATGTGTATCTTTAAATAAGTGTACCACATCCCTTTTGCCAAGTTGGGTGCCATTTGCTGGTCCTGCTAATGAGGGTGTGGGACCGTGTGTTTGGGGGGGATTATTCTGCTTCCCATGGCTGCCTTTCTTCCTCTTCCTCCCCTGCGTGCACCTACTTAGCCTTCAAGTCCCAGCACCAATGTCATCTCCTCTCTGCACGTCCCACTGCTGTGCTCACCCCCAGGAAGAGCCAGCCGCTCCCTGTCTGTGTTTCCTCAAGCCACACCTTCAGTTTCTCACATCCTGTTAGCACCGTGGGTGCATCTGCCTCTGTCTCTGTCCTCATGTGTGAGGACGGAGACGGCAACTTACTCGTCTGCATCTCTCTACTGCTAACTATGAGCCTAGCACACTGCAGGGGCACTTGGCTCATTTCACCAAATGTGTGTTTACAACCTGTATTCTAGAATATACTATTTCAGCGACCTCTTACCTCTCCAGCTTCCCACCTTGCCCTGTCTTTTCTGTCTCCTTCCTTCCCACGACTCCAGATTCATCAGGAGTGTGACGATGCCTCTGTTCACACTCACAGAAGACACGAATCCAGGCACTGAGTTTCTCTCTTAGATTTTATTCAGCCCGGCATCTCCTTCCATCCCAAATTCCCTTTGTCCAGTGGCAGAGAATCAGGATCTGCAGACCCCTGCTGAGTGAGCTGTGCCTGTCTTTTCCTTGAGAGTTTTATTTAATCCTTTTATTTAACAACCTCTGACGATGGGTATGGACATCCCCCGCCCCGTTTTAAATAAGGACATTGGGTTATGGAGAGAGGAAGGGGCTGTCTGAGCTCTTACCAAGCAGGTGGGAAAGTGGACACTGGGAATCTAAGCTCCAGTTTTCGGGGTCCATGGATCCTTTTTCTGTCTTCGTCACCTCAACTTGTATTCTTTTCACGTTATTCTCTCTGCCTCCAGAGGCCCCACAGCCATGCCTCCTGTCATCTTTGTCACTGTGTCAGGCAGGTGTGCAGCTCAGAGATGTCCTCATCTTCCTCTGCGGTGCCTCGTGACTCCTGGGTTCCTTGACTCAAGTTCCAGCTCCTCCATCCCAGCGGGGACTTTCAGATCCGTCTGGTTTACCGTGGTCCCCACACCTCAGCACATCAGACTGGCTTCCGTGAGATGCGTGAGGAATCTCACACCCAGGGCACAGTTAGCAGGAAGTGTGAGATGCACACACGATCCAAGTGGAGACCTGCTAGGTCTCCTCAGGAAAGCCCTGGATGTGACCCGAAGCATTCTATGTATAGAAAGAAAGTGTCCAAGGGAGAGGGAAAAGGAAAAGAACAAAAGCAGAGTAGGGAGCAGATTTTGCCTTAGGATCTGAGGCAGCAGCTCCTGTTTGAGTCTGGAAGGAGAATGAGATCTCAGGTCTGTCATAAAAGATTTATTCTCATTTAAATTCTAAATGTCCTTTATAATAGACAACTTTGGAAAGGTTTTTTGGTTTTTTTTAATATAAGTAACACATTTTTAGTTTTTTAAAAGCTTTTTTTAAAAAAAATTGGTTAAATTGTCCTTGAATTTATGTGCAAACTGAGTCATCTATGTCATTTATTATATCTTCATGGAATTTTATGATCTGTTGGGCACCCTTCACCCCATCTGGGCATGTGCCAATGCCATATTGCTTAGTCTCAGTCACTCTCACAGCCTATTGGTACTTCTCATATCCAGGTATGTGGGATGTAACACTTAGAAATTGCCTCAAAAATTACATTAACGGTGTTTATGGCATAAAAGGGAGAGGTTAAATCATTCCATTTTTTAAAAAACCTGTGTGCATAACTCTGCCGTCGCTGCAACTAAAGGAATGCAGTATTCAGGAGAGCAAAACCACCTCCAGGTAAACACAAAATCCCATTGACCGCACTGGGATTAAGAGAGAACAGGGACCAGGAGTCTATAAATTTGATGCTTTCTGATGCAATTTCCAGCTTTTCTTTTTGCTGCATACGTTCCTTTTTGTATGTAGCCCTCCACTGTGGAAGAACAGGAATACACGAAGGGGAAGGCAGGAGACTGAGTCTTAGATCTGGTTTGTCACTAACTATATAGGGCCTGGGGCGTCCAACTTGTTAGTGACAGAACCAGAATTAGGTTCTGTCTGAACCTCACTTTCCTTATATGGAAAATGCATCAAATATCAGAGTTGGGTCAACCCAGAGGTATTGAATACCTACTGTAGCCATCTTTTATTTTTCTGTTTTAGCGTCTTCTTCTTTTAATCCATCTCATCTTCAAAAGAAATATAATATTAATACATCTAAAATCTTTGAAACTCTATCATCTAGCTTTTTAAATCCTATCCGACTGCCATTATGACCCCAGTGTTATGGTGCTTTGAGCTCAGGAACCAAGACAGCCTTTGTGCGTGAAGTGGAGCTGGCCATGGATTAGGAGAGCGGGACTGGAATTGCAGATTCTCATGGCCTGTGGGTCTCCTCTCACATGCCCAGGGCACGGCCACAGGCAGGGATCACTCCATCGCTACACGTCCAACTTCTCCCTGTGTCTGTGTCCAGATATTCCTCTTCTCCTAAGAACATCAGTCAAATTGGAGTAAGGGCCAGCTCCACTCCAGGATAACTTCGTCCTAGCTAATTTTATCTGCAAGAACTCTATTTCCAAATTAGGTCCCATTCTGAGGTACTGGGGCTTAGAATTTCAACATATCCTTCTGGGAGGCACAAGCGAACCCATAACATTTCTTACTGTCACAGCCTCTTGAAGCAAACGCCTGCAGGGCTGTCACAGGGAAGAAATGAAATGACAAGTGTAAAGTGTCTAGCAGGTAGAATCCCCCAGGTAAATGCTAATTTTCCAAAAAGATACTTTTAAGAGATAATACCTTGATCTAAAATACACATTCAAAAAATGGGAATTGGAGGCAAAGTGGCTGGCCAGCAGGGAAACATTTGTGGTCATGGAGCCTTTTGTCCCTTTAAAATGTAATTGCACCAGGAAGACAGTGATCTGTTTGGTTTTCTTTCATTTGATGAGTTCAAGACAGTGTAACGAATGAACTGCAGGCCCATTTCTTTCTGTCTTCTTCACCAATTCTCTTCATAAAGTTAAAAGAGGAAAAACAAGGATGTGAACAAACAACTTTTCTTCTACCACATGATGAAATAGAAATGTAGGCATTGCAACAAGGGGGATATGTAACAGCTGGGGACACGCGAGATCCAGTTAAAGCATGACGCCACAGCCAAGGGAACATGGTCCAGCACCA